ATGACCAAGACCCCGCGGAATCCAGGCAATCACTACACAAAGGCAAAGCAACAACCACCAAATCAATCCAAACCAACCATGCAAATTGAAACAATCATTCACGAACAACGGATTCAACAAATAAACAGCTATGAACATCTATCAACGCTGGATTCCATCCCTTCCTGCTACAAAATTCGCCCTCAAACTGCTCTCCATCCAAGCCCGGGTCGCTGCATTGCGACGGTCATTGGATTTCGGAAGGCCACTTTCGGCAATCCACTTCGTAATGAAATAATCACGGGCCTTGGACAAGGAAGAAAAACTTGGCACAGCGTCAGGACGTTCAGCCGTCTCAGAAACATGAGGCATCTCAGAAGGCATCTCAGAAGAGGCCGCCGCAGTAGACTCAGTAGACGCAACAGGCGCGACACCATCCTGAGCTTGAGGTCTTGGGACACCCTTCTTGACCCAACGCTGGTGCCAAGCTGCGCTGTTCTGCCGGTGAACCATTCTCTTCAGTTCAGCAGCACTCACATCTGCAGGCGGATCAGATGCAACCACTGGCGCAACCACAGGTGGCACCACTGGCTCCGCTGGTGTGGTCGCCACTTCCTTTGGTTCCACCTCCACTTCCTCAGGCTCCACAGTGGGTCCAGGCTCACACAGCTTGCCACGTTTGGATTTGTTCAAGAGGTCCAAGTCCACTTGTTCCAAGCTGGCAGCATCAAAGCGCAAAGAGCGCTTCAATTGGGTTCTCTCCGGAGACTCAGAACCCTCTGGACCAAACCAGGCAAAGTGTGGTGATGGTGACAATGACGGATGCGAAGCACCTTCATCAACTGGTTGTGTCTCCTGCGAATCATCACCAAATGGAGCCTGCGAATCCTCAAAGTGTTCCCTGGTAGCTGGCCTCTGTGACATTTGCGGAGTGGCCACACCAGTCCTGGTGGGCAACATCCAACAAATGAGCAACAAATGTCAAACATCATCAACAAATGAGCAACAAATGTCAAACGTCAAAACATCCAATCAAATGTCAAATGTCATCATCATCATCAACAAATTGCAAAAGTCTGTTCAAAGCACAAGGCAAGGCACGGGGGTGGACAAAATGGCACAGGTTGTGCCAAAGCCGCATGCTTGGGGGCTGTCAGGAACATTGATTGAGATTTTGCCCGGGGAGCATCATGGATCACACTGAAGCTGTGCTTCTTCTCCACTGAAGGAGCGCAACTTGAACCCTGGTATGTGTGTGATGGAAGTTCATATTCCATCAGACCGGCGCCATCATCCAAGACAATCTGAGTACCGCAGGAGGTCATGGGGCGGACAAGCACAGAACAACACACGACGCCCGCACAGAACCAAATAGCTTCAAAATACTGTTCAATGACATATGTGGTGCGCAACAAACAACACAACAACTTACAGCAAATTGCTGCCATCACCTTACATCACAGCAAGAACACAGGACTCAGTTCATTTTCTCAACATCTCCCCTACACGGCTCAGGTGTGTTCAGCTAACTGAAGATCATTTGAACCCACACTACACAGAGGTGTAGTCACACCAAAGCATTTGCCAAAGCATCGTTTGGCTGGTGTTAACCCCGTCAAGCTGACAAAAGCTTGGGAAACTAGATCACGCGCTGCGCACCGCCTTGGATCATACCAAGGTCGCCCGGCAGGTACCACAGCGGCTTCGCCGCTCCAACCGTTTTCTCAGTGACATACTTGCGAAGCCGCCATACCTCAAAAGAATCCAAATGAGTCAAAGACCCACATGAAGAATTCAGCGAAACAACACAGAACTTTGGGTTGTCAAGCTCAAACAAATGCAAGAACAGAAAGCTTGCCCAGCAAAATGCAAATAAAGCCACCAGGACCAAAGGGCTGGCCTTCAGCTGCTGGTAAGAGAAATGCGAAGCCAGATTGGATGCCTTCAAGGACTTAGCCGGTACTGCATTTGCCTTCCATAGCAGCTTCTCATCTGTTGGGGCAACATAAAAGCGATCATCACATCGGCCTTGCTGGACTTCTGGTGGCCTGCAACAGGTGTGTCCTGCCAGGCTGAAGTCAATCATCCCGGACTTCTCCACTGCCTGTAGGGCTGCGCACAGAACCATCGGATTGGTGTCGGATCCATCGTCCTGACCAGAATCACAAAGAACAAACATTTCACAATACATTTGAACACACTTGAAAACATTTGAAAATACAAGTGCACCATGAACTGAATCCTCCAGGACAACTGGCGCACTGTCGTCAGTGAACGAACAGGGGATGGCTTTGCCCTGATTGTTTGCCTCGAACTTGGTAGCCTTCTGCCCAACAAGCCAGGTGCCCCCACCATGAGTGATGAAAGGCAAAGGGTTGCAAGGCAACTTGACAGGCTCCTTTGCATGGACATACAAAGAAGGCCCTGGTGCAATGATGAACGTAGTCGTGGAAGTTGGCCCTGCCACTTCAGTGAAATTCTCTGCGCCCCCAACCTTCTCCTTGAGCTTCTCAAACATGTCTGGTTCACCCGGGAAGGCAGACTTCCAATCATACTCTGCATCCCCCTCCTGCTTGATTGGCGACGGCGTCTCTGTCTTCATCGGACTTGGTTTCGATGGAGATGGAGTGTCTGCCAAAGGTGCACCCCAGGACTTGTCAAAGTTGGTCAATACGTCGCGCCACTCTTGCCCCCATATTGGGCAAGAGAGGAATTGGTGCCTGATGTCCTTTGGCAGGATCAGCTTGTTGCTGTCCTCTGCCACCTGGCAGATCTTGAGCGTAGGCTTTGACGCGCCCTGTGGAAGATCCTCAGGGGACGGATCTTTCTTGTACCTGGGCATGTACTTGTCCATTGGAGCTTGGTTGGATTTCCATGCCTGTGCAGGGCGTGTGCAATTTTGCAAGCAATAAACTGTGAAATTGCCACCCCAAACAGTCCCACAACTATTACAGTAATGTAAACGCATGCAATGGATGGCAATGGTTTTGGCGACAGGTGCCTGCAGAAGATGAGACTTCACAATCTCATTGGTACACTTGTAGTTCGCTTCAATGAGACTGGAACTCAGAATCGCATGGCCCAGCTTCATCCCTGCCAACTCCAAGCAACCATCGTAGGCAGTGGGATGCAGAATGACAGCTCCCTGCGGTGCCTTCACTCCACCTCAAATCACTCCAATGAGAGCTAGTGACCAATATCATCACAGCAAACCAAAACACAAATATCACACAAAACAAATCAAAACAACATACAAAACGCATCAATACCATCAAGTCAATGCATAAGCGGCTGAACAGCGCGGTCAGAATCGCAGTTGGCACCCGCCCTCCTCCGATCCACTGACTTGTCTCTTGCAAGTCTGTCAGATTGCGCCTGGTGTCGTTGGAGAGGAGCGACTCACCTGGCACCACGAACTCTTTCTCCGACAATGCTCCAGGAAAGGGCGTCGGCAGGGACTGCCTTTGCCACAGCATGCTGCCGCAGAACCTGGGGACAAGCAACATTTGAAAAGACATATTCAGTGAAATAATCAGACAGCCAAAAACCAACCCCGGCAACCATAAAAAGTGTGACTATAAGCAAAGAAGGGGCAAGTTCACCTGATGCTCGATCTCGGGCGCACCGCGCACGCTTCTGTGGGCAGTGCCCTTGAGAGGCAGCGTAGAGTCTGGCACACCCAGGTAGCAAATGTAGGCGCTGGGCAACTCACGGTTCTTGTGGAGGTCATCAAGGCTCAGATTCAGGGTAAATGGCCTCAATTCGATCTTGTTGGCAATGAGCTTATCCTCGAGCCTCCTCCAAAGCACTTTGTGGCACCACCCCAAGACATAATATGGACATACAACACAGTTTTCCACCGCCAATAAAGAACATTGGACAAGGAGGACTATCGAACACTCATACTCCTGATGTCTTTGCGAAGACTGCCACCAGAGTCTGCGCCCACTAAGAGGGGCGGGATCAACACCAGGACTGATCCTGGGCAAATCAAAACACATACCCTTATCTTTGGTTTTGAACCTGCATCAAAGCACAATGCAGTGCTGAGAGGCAAGCAACTTCCTGGCAAACAATTCACAGCAAACTCACGTCTGAGAAATTCACGGGATGGGTTCTTGAAGAGCATCTTGTCGCAGACATCCCCAATCAGGTTCACTTCTGACTGGCTGATCACACCCATCTTCGTGCAATCAATCCAAATAACTGTCTCAAGGTCTGAGACGGACACCTTGCAACATGTTTTATGCATTTGACCAGCAACATAGCGAACATAGTCCAACCCAAAGGAATGCAAACTACTACAAGCCTTCTTGGCAGCAGCCAAATTCCGGAACACGGTGTCAGCACACGGGTCTGCAAAGCATTTCTCCATCAGCAGCGAGACCCGGCAGCACTTGGTCATGAAGGTCTGACAAAGCCTCAAATGACTGAGATGCGTTGAGATAAACACATGGCATGTGGAATATTGTAGAGGATAAACCAAAAAAACATCTTCTGAGCAAAACCTACTCTGAAGGATAGTAAGATGAGAAACTCCGCGCCAACTTCATGCTGCCCCTTTTGGCGCATGACGTGCACCACATGAGCCCTGCGCTTGTTCTCCTCCATTTGGGAGTTGTACAAGGTCATGGCCGCACAGTCTTGGGCCATCTTGGCCCTCACCTCACGATACCTCGCAGCTTGTGCTTGATCTTCTAAGTCCACCAACTCAGCAGCGGTTGCCACACACGGCGGCGGGCCAGTTGGAGTCTCGACGACATCAGCCCACAGCCCAAAGTGTTGGATCTTCCAAGTGGCCAATTTGGATGCAACAATGGCTTCCACATCGGACTTGTAATCCCTCAGATTCATCAAACAGCCCAATCAACTGACAGATTGCACAAACAAAATACTGTCACACAAACAAAAGGTTTAACATTTCACAAATTACATCCTAGCGACCGCTGATAAAAGGCCTTCATGATCTGAGCCTCTTTTTTCAGGCGTGAACGAAGCTAGCTGCCGGGCCTCTACCAAGAGAGCTGAGTAAATGCAGGCGTAGTCTGCGTGAGCATCAAAGACGTCACTGGACATGCGGAGCCTTGAGCGCGCTGACGGCCTCAAGCGGCGACCACCTTCAACAAAGATGTTGATGATGAGCTTGAGGTGCATCACTTGGGATTGCGGTGTCACGGTTAAACACCGCCTCAACTCCGCTGGACAAGCGCTTGCCTTGGGGGGACGCCCCAATCATCCACCGATTTGATCTCAGCTGCTCTGTGTTTAGGGCAGCCTCCTTCCATTTGAATCTGTCCAGGTGAGCGCGCATCACTTCCCGCGCTTCCTCAAAATGACACAATGACACCAAACAAGAACCAATGCAACTAAACAAACACTTTCCACTCAAAAGAAAAAGGAAAATGACAAGGTGAATGAATATAAGTCCCAAACACGTTGCTGCTGCCTGCAATCAGGTTATATACTGATCGCAGCTTGTCCTCGTCCATCCTGTGTCTCTGGGACAGACCCTCTGAGTCATGGAACTGATGCACGACCGCCATCAGGCGTTCTTCTGTGCTGGTGCCAGGTGGGTGACTGCCCTCATCCAATTCCATGACTCGGGAGAACCTCAACGCCAATTGCAGCACATTTGGCGGCTGCCTCTCCGAGCCGCGGTAGCTGAGAGTTAGATTTCGGAATGATCGCTCCGAGGCAGTCATTCCGAATGCCATCTTAGCAATTGAAGAACAACAGCAAGCATGAAGAACAACTGCGACAGTGAACCCACAAAAAACAATAGGGTAAACACATTTCTACAGCAGTAAATCCAACCAGCCACATGGCACGGCAAGAGCCAAGCACGATCGAGGATCTTCACCAGTGGTTTGACCTGCTCTTGGGCCGCAGCATCTGTCAGGTCAAGCTCGGAAGCAGCCAAGAGGATTGTCGCTACCACCGAGCTGCGCGTCCACCCTTTGACTTGGTGGACGCTCTGCCGGTCGCACAGCCAAAAATCTGATGGGAGCAAAAAAGAAAAACCAACAAGAAAATACAACATTTAACAGACAACAACAACAACAACAACAACTGTGCAATGCAAATGTCACCTTTCAATTTAACCCCCAACCTCGACCACCCTCCATGGATGTGTCCAGTGGCTCACGTCCAAGGTCAATTCCACTGAACAACATGGACTCAAATGTGGCCATCCAGTCCTCCATGACTGGCAATCCGTCCTCTGGCTTGTCAAACCTGAGGCTACAAACTTCAAAGTAAATCTAAAAAATTTCCAAGGGACATGTATAGTGAACACTGGCATCCCCAACAACACAGGATGAAGCGCACGTCACCGAGAACCTAACCGCAAGCAAGTGATCGGAAGCTTGATGGTTTCGCCATGCATGGAAGGATTCATCTCCTGAGTAGTTTGCATCACCATGCGTTTGAAGGTTTGCTTGGCAGGAAACATTGTCGTCAACTTTTTTTGCACACACACACAGTGTATGATAAACGTGCGACAGAGGTATGTGCAAACAAGAAGATTGACATTTGAAACAAGGAGCCATTCCTGGTGCCTTGAAAAGGTAACTTGTACCACGGAACTTGGCATACTCAGCGTACCATGCTTCAAGCTGTTGACATTGCAAAGTCCGATGATGGTCATCATCACACCCAAAAAGGTCAACCACTAGTTGCGCAGGGTGCGCAGATTCCTCTATGTCTTCCTTCTTGAATGATACGACATAGTCCCAAAGGGCCTGGGGGGAACTTGGTTTTATTTTGGTTGGGAAACTTTGGTGACGCACATAACTTGCATGTTGTTTTTATATTTCTCAGCTACACAGCTACACAGTACATACCAGCCTTCACCAAAGAAAGGTCACCTGGTCCCATCTTGCTCATGAGCTTGTCGACCTGTGTGCAAGCTCGCTTTGTAGGTGGGTCTGCATTGTGGCCGCCATCCTCTTCCTTTTTTCTTCACCAGCTGCAGCCGTTCCTCGGCCTTTTGCTTAAAGGTCGTCGCCATGGGCTGCACTCGATCTCAAATTTCCCCTAAATCACTTTGAGCAGAACAGATGGAAAGCAAAAAACATTGACTGAGTACATTGGCTTTGTTATCTCGGTTTGGACACAATGTCAATGCACTCGGCTAGCCCCAGTCCATTGATCCCTTTTTGAAAAAAACACGCCATCAATTTTTGTTTAAAATCTATAAAAAAAATTGATGCTCGACATTTTTTACTTAAAGGATCAATGCACTGGGCCCAGCATAGTGCATTGATCCTAAGTTGGGGAACCCAGCACAAGTCAAATGCAGCCAGGTATAGTGAGTGCAACTCCCAGGCATGGACATCCCTGTGTTCCCTGTAAGTGGTCTCCCTAAAAGTCAATGCACTGGGCTCACCCCAGTGCATCGACTTCAGTGAGTGGGTTGACGCGAGTGCACCGACCTGGGCGTGTGAGAAGGTGGGAGTGCACCGATGTTGGTTGACCGGGAACCCGGGTTGCACCGACTTTTGGGGTCACACCGGTTCCGGTGCACCGACTTTCGGGGTCACACCGGTTCCGGTGCACCGACAATCGTGGACGGGAACCGCACCACACAGAACCAAAACATCCAATAACACCAATCGCTTTCTGTTTTCCTTTCCCAGGATTCCCTCACAAATCCTTTTGGGGTGTGGGCCACAAAGGCGGCCAAAGGGAATTGAACACAAACAGAAAATCCATGACCCCCAAACACTTGGTTCCCAAGTATCCCATAAGAGCTGGGTGAAGAATAGGTTTCTCCTTTTCTACACTCGGCGGTCACCACTGAAGATGGCCCTGAGTGGCACTGCTGGGGCTAATGCGTTCAGCACTGCCGGTTGCAGCAAAAATCTCGGTTCTTGGATATCCACACTTCAAGGATTTTCCTGTAGCCAAGGGAGAGGAGTCAGTTCTGAGTCTCTCCAGAAAGCATTATTTGCTAGATTCTCTAGGTCTCCACGGCCCTTCTGTACTTGTGTCCATAACACAGCTCGACAGCCCGTGCAAATTTCTTCCAATCTGCCGCGGTCGATTCCCGATGGTTGTTCAGCATCCTTGGACATGCGAGCCCGGGTTCTCGAGAAGGAAGTTTCTTTGGAAGACCACATGACATGACAAGGAATAAGAACACGTTACTTTGTTTGCTTCTGAATTTCTTCTCTGAAGGCAATGACACATAGTTGAAAGCACGCCCATGGGTCATTGTCAAAAGTGGGTCTTGCGCCAACGTGTTGTCACACACAAACTTCTTTATGAACGTGATCACGTCCGCACCATTGGGCTGCCCTCTGTAAGACCCAGAGTTGATCTTATCCACAAATGCCGATGGGAGATCTACAGGGTTTCAAATCCAGAAACCGTTTCAAGTTGGGAGTTGGGAGTCCGAAGGTTTTGGGTGGGAACGAATTGGTGGAATCCCAAGCCTCGACGTTGCAAGCTGAGGAAGAAGTGATTCCCCTCTTCATCTTTGAGCAGTCCGCCCTCAAGCTTCACACCAAGGCCCGATACGTGGTCTTTCCACGCACGGGTGTTATCCAGCTGAGATACCACCACCCGAGTAGAAGGTCCGACCCAATCTTTT